CATAAGCTCAAAGACAACCAGCACAGTGACAAAGACACTCCTGTCATCCATGACAACCGAGTATCAGAGGACAAAGTGTCCAACAGGGGGACCACATCACCCTACGTTCGGCAGACCAGCCTAGAACGTCCCAACAGCAGCCTGAGCCGGGAGGTCCTGGAGAAGAAGGTAGAGCTGCCATATGAGCACCAGAAGAAGAACAGTGAGGTGAAGGTGAAGGAGGAGAGAAAGGAGGAGCAGGACGGAGCTACAGAGAGGTCAAGTGAGCACCCAACACAGGCACCCTCCACACCAAACCTCCACCCTCCCTCCACAATGCCTGTACCCATGGGCATAGCTGGTGTTCACCCCATCAACAGCATGAGCAGTCTGGAGAGAACTCGGGTGGTGGCGCCTTTCATGGGTATCAGCCCCATCCCAGGAGCTGACAGGTTTCCCTACCCGGCCTTCCACTGGGACCCTATGAGGGACCCCTACAGAGGCCTGGACATTCACAGACGAGACCCTTTGGCCCGGGATTTACTGCTAAGGAATGACCCTCTGCACCGGCTGGCAGCACCACGCCTCTATGAGGCAGAGCGCTCATACAGGGAGCGTGAGCCACATGACTTTAATCGTGACCACGCCCACCCTCTGGCTCTGGAGCAGAGGAGAGAGCAGGAGCGTGCCCAGCTGGAGGAGCGTGACCGCCTCAACATGCTCAGAGAGGACTATGAGCACGGGCGCCTCCACCCTACAATGCACCATCCTGCCCTTGATGGACACCTCCCCCACCCTGCCCCTGGCCTCATAGCCCCTGGACTCCCTGAATAAAACGCCACCCACCGCCTCTCTGAGTGCCCCACCTCCTCTCATTCCCACACTGGGCGCCCGGCCCGGCTCACCAAGACGGACTACTCCCCTGGCCACAGATATCAGAGACAGACCAGCTCACAAAGACATTGAGGCGCGGTGAGCTGAGCCTCAGCAGACTCCCTTTAGCCTTGTGCCTCACTAACCCTGAACTCACACCAAGCACTTAGCTTTGGGCAAAGCAAGACTGTATCATAGCTGTGAATAACGTCTGTGGGCAGAGACATACCCACCCAATGAACTGTTTTTGTATAAAACTACAACAAGACAATAATCATGGAACAAAATGCATTTTTAAGAGTTTCTTTTCAGTTGCTCCAGCTTTTTGTGTGCATCTCTCTTGTATAGTGACGTGGAGTAAAAATGGAATGTATAGGTCCTTTAGCACTGACGGACAGCAGTGTGTAGATAACATGTACAGTTGCTGTGCTCACTCTCTATGGATTAAAAATCATGGTACAAATATGCAAAAGAGTGTTTTGAAAGCTTTACTTTGAAAAATGTAAATAGAGGAGCATTAAGGCAGTGATACAGAATGTGCTTTTTTTGCTATTTCCACTTTTATTTTTGGTTGACACAGCCAATTAACATACTACCAGAGACCATCTATTCAACTATGCAACAAATGTCTGGGCTCCCTTTCGGAAAGCTGGCCTTCTCACCACTACCGACTGTGCACCAGTAAAGGACAAAACGCTGCATTCCCTCCACAACTCAGACTGGACAAACACTGGGTCCTTGCAGACAGCTCCAAGCTTTAACTGATCCATGCAGGATCTGTGGGTAGCAATTTGAATTGAACAAAAAGGTAGTTTTTGAGAATTACATTCTCAGATATGATGGAATTGTGGTGACAATCCTAGGAACAGTTAATGAACTATTGCCCTTGAAAGGCCTTTAATGTAAAAAGGCAGCAGCACAAAACATATACACCCCTGCCCCCGTCTTACCTCCAGTCTTGTTCTGGGGAGAAGGCAGCACATTAAACACCATGACAGCACATTGGCCCTGTGGAAGGAGTGTAAAGTAAATGTTTTGGAAATACAGTAGGTTCTGTTGGTCAAACTGTGTATTACAGTGTTAAGTTGTTGTACCTGCAAAATCAAAAGACAAAAAAAGCAAGTCTAAACTATGGACAGTTTGTTTCTAATGAACAGAGTTCTATTTTAGTAGTCCACTGAAGGTTTAGTTGTGCGCTTCAAACTGTGATATCCTGTTGTGCAGTGTTTTTTAATCCAACATAAAAATGTCCACCGGAGCCATAGTGGTTAGTCAATACATATTTCAAAAAGATTGTTCAATGAAACTTTTTGCTGTTTACCATGTACAGGGGAAAAAATTAAGTCTTTCTAGATCATGTACATAAATGAGAAAAAAATGAAGCGACTGAATCTTCAGCATGCTCCTCATTTAAACTTGTTATGTAAATTGTGCCATGTTATTAAAAAATGTGTACTAACAGTGTCGTTGGGCTTTTAGTCCTCCACCTACATGCACTGAACTGAGTCAACAGGCTGTGCTTCTTTCTGACACATAAACTATCTGGCTACAACTCACAGCTGCTTCAGAAGCATTTTATCTGCTATTGATTGTGTAGTTAAAGTAACGATAAAGATTTTGCTACTTACTATAGTCACCTCTGATCTGGTCATTCACCTGCTGATGAAAAATGTCTCCGTTCTCACTCGGTGCTGACTTACTAGAAATCCCTTGGTAGCAGTTAAAACTGCAGAAACATCATGCATCACATCAGTTGCTTGGAAAAGTGTGGGTTGTGCTTGGTTCAGTAACAGTGCTTTAAACATCAACAGCCTTCACTTGTGTATTCATGATGCAAGAATTATTGACGTTCCCATTACGCCGAATAACCACAGCATTTCTCCACCCCGCTCTGATTGATGTGGAGCACTGCAGCACCCAGGCCATGCGTCAATCAAATGTTGGCTCGACCCATTACTGCTGGAATATGTGGGTTGCCTGCCTTTCCTCCTGCTAAGTAAATGCCTCCTGCTCCTGGGACAAACACTATTGTTCCTTTAATGCCTGCACACACAGTGCTAGTTGTGGTAGTTCAGGCTGTGAACCAGGAGAGGGCGCCAAACCACTACTAATAAACATTTTTAAATCAAACTGCAAATAGCTGCAGCAAGTCAAGAAGGGGAAGATACCACCTCACCTTGCCATGTAGTTATTTTCATTAGGGCTGCAACAATTAGCAGATTAATCAATTAGTCATCTTGATGAGCAATTAATTTTTTAAGCAAATATCTGCTTCCAGTTTCTCAAATGTGACGATTGTCTGATAGTCTTACTATTCCATGATAGTAATTAAAGTCACAGCTGAGCAAAAATTCCAATTATTGTTTGGTTTAAGATTCCTACATGTGAGGGTTTGTTGCATTTCTCCATTTTATAATCCCTGTAAACTGAATGTCTTTGGATTTTGGACTGCAAGTTGGACAAGAGACAATTTAAACATCATCAAGGCTCTGAGAACTTGTAATGGCTGTTTCTTTCATAACCGGCTTGCCGTTTTCTGGTATTTTACAGAAATTCATTCATCAGAAAACACTGACAACATTAAATCAGCAGAGAAAACAGGTTAGTTGCATCCCTAATTATTACCTCTGCCAAGGGTTAGGGTTATGTTTTTACCGTTATGTTCACAGCATAGCTGAAAGATTAAAGAACCAATTTGGATGAATTTTTTTGCAGAGATAGGGTGAAAGAATAGAAAGAGAAAGGGAGTGGTGTTTCCACTACTAGGTGGGATTTAACGGTAAGTTGCATGTCTGTTAATGCCTTGTTTCTCTAGAGAATTGTTTTAAGGCTGGAGAAGTTATTAAAATATGGGGTTTCTCCCATACCCACTTTGTATAGAGTGTTGTACATCTCTTTTCATCAGTACATGTACCGTTGTTTACCTACAGTATCTATGGAGGAGAAATTCAAATAACTTATGCATTTGCAGTTTGTCGCACTGTCCACCTTCATATTCTGGCTCTAACACGTCAGGTAGAATTTGAGATATTGTCAGTGTTGAAAGCATAGCTTATTTGTAAGTGTTTTTTTGTTTATGTGTTATCCTGGCCTCCTGACCTGAGTTGTACAGGTTCGTGAACTATCCTCTCGCTTTTAGGGGGAGACACTCTTTGTGATATTGGGTTTTATCATTCTGAAATAATTACAGACTAATTGGAGTTGTGATAGGTGCAAAGCTAATCTAGAGGTATGCAAGATTAAACATCAAATGGCTGGACATGAGCATGTCATGAGCTCTTTGATCAATTCATAGTTTCAGCTCTAATCTGAAGTCTCTGGCAGGTCAGAACTGACGGGCCTGCTCAATGAACTTGCAGGAGCCATTAACCGATTATACAACATACACTTGATTTGACAAAAAATATTTTAAAAAAGTTTATAAAAATGACAAAAAACTCCTACAGCTCTCATTATTGTGAGGGGGAATGTACGGATGAAGCACCCAGTCAGCACCTTCACATACATTTAAGTCCTCAAAGCAGTTAGCAGGACCTGTTATAGCCAGAACCATTCTCAACAATAATGGGAAGAAGCCTGAGTGGGAGAGAGAAGCTATCAGTCTGCAAAGAGAGAGACTATCCACCATGGTGTCAGACAGGTGGCTCCGAGTGAAAGCCGAGTGTCTGTTAGGGATGGGATGATATATCACAATATAAAAATGTCACAATATGTATAGTTTTTCCATCCATCCATCTTTGTCAGCTTTATCCAAGACTGGGTCGTGGAGGCAGTAGTCCGAGTAGAGCCTCCTAGACTATAGTTTTGTCTAGTGATATATATCGTGTGGTCTACATGCACCAGACACTTATTTTTTGTAAATAAGAACAGAATGTACATCAATATATCTGGTTGTTCTTTACATAATCAAACCAGTGCTAGAAAAGGGGGGAAAGAGGACTAAAGTACAAGCAGCAGCTAGTTGTCATTGTCATCTTTGAATTTTTAATTGTAGTTCTGTTAACATTAATGTCAATAAGTAAAAATGTAGAAAAGCATTTTTTGATACTCGATGATATTGAAGTAATTTGATCGATACCATTAAAGTGTCAAAGTTCAACACGCAGCACTGTCCCATCTCTACTGACTGATGATGCTTCAGGGAAAATGAGTCCTGTGAATCCAACTTAAACAACACAGTGCCAAGTGAAAACAGATAAGACAAAGCACAACAAACCTAGTCAGCACCTCTGCTGTTTACAGATCACTGTGTGATGAATGGTTTCACTCTATGGACAGCAGAAGCTGAAACCTCTGGTGGGAAACTGACACAGATCTAATGGAAAAACTCAGTTATCTTATTAAACTTCTTTATTTGTTTATTTATGTGACCTACAATTTCCCCCATTAATTAACCAATTACCCACTTCCCATAATCTGCTGCAATGAGATAAATCACAAAATGCTGACTCTCTCTAAATCCTAATCACTGTTGAGGCAAGTTCTGCACCGTTTTCTCTCTGTGTTCGCCTTTTTTAGAGGAATCTTTTTTTCAAGGCTGTAGATAGTCCAATTATTTTAAAGGTGCATTAAGAATAGATTTGGAAGTATTCTGTATCACTGTATTAAAAATTTCATTCAGGATTCCCATTTCTGATGTGGTCTTAGTGGTTTATAACTCATTGTTACTGCTCCCTATCTTTAGCAGGACATTTTAATCTCATGGCAGCTTTGTTGTGTTAAATAAAGGTTACATATAAATGCTACTGTTTTAGTTATAAAGTATCTGAAAACAATATAAATTGGCCATCACATTTCCCCAGGGCTCAAGGAAATGATGGCAACTGAGTTTTGTCCAACCAAGTTTCCAAAGTAACGACAGTATTTTAATTATTATTATTTTCAACTATTAAATTTACCACTTACTTTACAAAATGATCTATCTGATCAGAACATTTTCAGTTAGATTTTCTGTTGAAGCATTTCAACTGTGCCATTTTTAACAACAGTTTGCTGCAGTAGTTCAGGTTTAGTTATCAGCTTGTGCTAAATAAGAGGTATTATGCTAAAACATTCCAGGTCGGTGTTTTCTTAAACAGCTTGAGGCTTCCCAGGCCAGTCAGTTAATATTTTGTTCATGTTAATAATTTCACTATCATCCTGTAAAAGGCGAAGTGATCAAGGCCTGCCACCCTTCACTGTAACACCCCTCATTTATGACCTTATTGCTTTGACTCCTGAACACTAACCAGGGTCCCTCTAGTCATGTAATTTAGCTTTTTGAACACAAGGTGGCACCAGTGCAGCTCCCTAGTGTATGGTGGGAGGCTCCACAGCATGTAGCACATAGTGGCCCTGTCACACTGCCTCTGACCTGAGAAGGGAGAACCAGTTTGGTGGGTTAACTAGCAGCGTATGCTCATTATTTCTCTGGAATAAAATGAACAACGTCACCATACATTCTGTCAAACTGGAAGAGCAGCATGGCGTGCTACACCGTCCTTGGTGCCTTGTTCTTATGTTGACTTCAGCTAAGAAGCAAATAAAGCCCCAGTTTTGGCATGTCAGCGGTCTGAACCCTGAAGTCTGGAATTCAGTCTGATAATGAGTCATCTGCCAGCTGGAGGGCACACCTCTCTGCCTCAGAGCTCACATGATAATCAGCAAACAAGAACATCTGATACCTTATTGCTATTGTAAACAAAACCTGTCTCAGGGAAATGATTGTCCCTGGGTTATGCAAAAGGCAGAGGATCATATTCCATTAGAAAAATAAAACTACCTAGGACGAACCTACAGAGATTCACGATCCTCTCCTATTCACATGTCCTGTACATGCCTTCCAGTCACCTTATTCTTATGTAAAACAATGCACTGGCAGAAACGCCACCCTTTTACCTTAGAAGAGAAACAATTACATGGGAACATTCATTCTTTTCTCCTTGCTGACAACACTTCTAATCACAACTAGACAAACGAGCCTGGGTCCTCCTAAAAATACTCTATTTATAAATGGGAAGGCATCCCATTTTCAGGTGTAACACTCCTCCGCTGTTTCAACTCTGATAAAAAGCACAAAAACATTTATAAACAAAGCCCACAGGTACTGCTGTCAGTTCTTCCACTGATATTATTACTTTTCAAGTTTGTTGATGTGTCCATGTGAGAACAGGTCTTGTTCTTTGTTCCAACTCTCCACACCGGCACAAAGGCTTTTCACCAGGAAGACCATCACACAACGCAGTTCAAAGTTCGGCTGAGGCTCCAGCAGGACAGTAGAGTTTCATTCTGGGTCGAAAGCTCCAGGGCCAGTGTGGAGAGGAGGAGTAGTTACACCAACCAAGGCCAATTATTAGGCAAGTTGTATTTTTGCGGATTCATTTTATTTTTGAAAAACTACAGTGCTGTCGGTCAATCGAAAATGTTGATAAACCTCAAGCCTGAATGTTTAAGAAAGTAAAAGTGAAGCTTTGGCTTACCTTAATGTACATCCGGGTATCGGACAGTGTCACTGTTGAAGTGAGAACTGCCCCCCTGAAC